CTAGTCCTCTTGAGTCTACCCTTGGCGTTTAAAGTTTTTCCTTTCTTTTGGGCATCGATTCTGATTTTCTTTCCTGGATTCATATTAGTATCAGCCTGAAGCCTCGTGCAAGGACTCAAAACTCTGCCCCAGCTTCTCCCCCATTTCTTCTGCTCCACCAGTGTTGGTGCCTTCCTGATGGACAGCTCCTGGTTACATTCTTCAGGCAGTTACCATATCGCCCCATGTCAGTGCCAGCTCTGACTAACTTTCTAAGCTTTGTCTGGAGTTAACTCCACTGCTCCTGATAATAACAAGGTAATTTCATCTGGGCAAAACTAAGATTTAGAGGAGAGAGAGATAAATCCAGCAAGATGTTAATGAACAGCCCTTACTTACTGTCAAGGTTATATAGAATTATGTTGTTTACTTTCCAAATATTCGGTGATTTTCCAGATTTCTTTCTGTTATTGATTTCTAATTTAATTCCACTGGGATCAGGAATAAACTCTGTATGATTTCTGTACTTTTAAATTTATTGAGATTTGTCTTGTGGCTCGGGATTCTGGTCTATCTTGGTAAATGTTCCAAGTACACTAGAAATGAAGGTGTACTCTGATCCTGTTGAGTAGAGTGCTCTGTAAATATCAACTTGTAAAGTTGGTTGATATGTTGTTCAAGTCTTTTATATTTGTCCTGAGTTTCTCTACTTGTTTTATCAGTTATCAATAGAAGGTGTTGAAATTTCCAACTACAATTGTGGATTTGGCTATTTTTCCTTCAAGTTCTATCAGCTCTTGCTTTATGTATTTTGAAACTTTGTTGTTAGGTAAATAACAAAGTTGTTACGTCCTCTTGATTACTTAAACACTTTATCACTACACAATGACTCTCTTTACCCCTGGAAATACTCCATGCTCTGAAATTTACTTTGCCTGATATTAATATAGCTACTCTTTAGGTTAAGATTTGCACTTACATATTTTTCATCCTTTTATTTTTAACATACATGTGTCTTTACATTTAAAGTGGGTTTCCTATAGACAATGTATCATTGGATCTTGTTTTTTAAAATTGAATCTGGGGACACCTGGGTGTCTCAGTCGGTTAAGCATCTGCCTTTGGCTCAGGTCATGATCCCAGGGTCCTGGGATCGAGCCCCACATCAGGCTCCCTGCTCTGCGGGGAGCCTGCTTCTCCCTCTCCCTCTTCCGCTCCCCTTGCTTGTGTTCTCTCTCTCTCTCTGACAAATAAATAAAATCTTTAAAAAATAATAATAAATAAAATTGAATTTGATAATCTCTGCCTTTTAATTAGTGTTTTAGACCATCTACACTTAATGTGCTTATTTATATGGTTGGTTTTAAATCTACTATCTGGTGGGTTTTTTTTTTCTATTTTACCTTCTGTTATTTGTTCTTTTTTTCCTCTTTTCCTGAATATTTAGGATTTTGAGTTTTTTTAATATTCCATTTATATTTTTAAGTGGTTTATTAGATATATCTCTATTTGTTTCTAGTGGTTGCTCTATGGTTTATAATATACATCTTTAACTTATAACACTCTACCTCCAGGTAATATTGTATCACTTTAAGTATTGTATAAAAACCTTACAACAATATATTTCCATTTCCTCTGGCCTTTGTGTTATTGTCATATATTTTAATTCTACATGATATAAACCTCATGTTATAAACCTCATTGTTATTTTTGTTTTAAACAATATTTTAATTCTCACTCACCTCCCTCCATCAACCCTCAGTTTGTTCTCTATCATTAAGAGTCTCTTATGGTTTGCTTCCCCCTTTCTGTCTCTCTCTCTTTTTTCTCCTTCCCCTATGTTCATTTTACAATATGATGTTTTGATATGATTTCATATATGTATACATTATGAAAGAATTTTCTTCCATCAAGTTAATTAACTAATATATTGATTACCTCAAAGGTATCAATTTGCCTTTTTTAAACTAGTATTTTTTTTTGTAGTATCTATTCTATTGTTAATCCCATCTGAACATTAAATCTTGAATCTCTAGAAGTTCTCTTTGGGTCTTTTTAAATTTTTTCCATTTCTCTCCTTATGTTAATGCTTTATCCTATCCACTTTAGTGTTTAGAGTAAATTTATAATAGCCATTTTAATATCCTTGTCTACTAATTCTATCACCTGTGTCATTTCTGGGTCTCTTCTATTGATTTTTCTCTTCGTTATAGGTCATATTTCTGTTTCTTTGCATGCCTGGTAATTTTTGTTTTGATATTATATATTGTGAATTTTCCATTGTTGGGTGCTGGATTTTTTTATTCCTTTAAATGTTTTTGTGTTTTGTTCTGGGATTCAGTTAATTGTAAAGACTTTGATCCTTCTGAGGCTTGTTTTTAATCTCTGTTAGGTGGGTGGTCTAGGACTATCTTGGACCCACTACTAAGGCAATATTCTCCTGAGGACTCTACTTGATGCCCCATGTGTAGGAAGGTTTTTCCACTCTAGCTACTCCTAGCTTGATGTGGGATTTGGGGATTTTTCTGCCTGCTCCTTTCCAGTGTTCTTTCTTGGTAGTTTCATGTATTAATCAGTACTCAGTTAAAGATTTGAGAGAATTCTGCTTCATCTCTGGAGCTTTCTGTCTGTATAGCTCTCTTCTCCACAGTAATCCACCCTATGAATTCTAAGCATCTTGGATTCCCCAAACTCTGAACTCTGTCTCTTCAACTCAAGAAGACTGTCAGGCTCTGTTTGGATTCCCTCTCCTTGTACAGTGGCCTGGAAACTCTATCTAGGCAGCAGGATGGGGCAATTGTAGGGCTTACCTTGTTTGTCTCCCTTCTTTCAGGGATCATTGTCCTATACTATTTTCCCATACCTGAAAACTGTTGTTTCATAAATTTTGTTTGGTTTTTTAGTAGCTTAACATCAGAGGGTAAATCTGGTCCTTGTTACTCCATCATGGCTGGAAATAGAAGTCCTCCACATCCCTCACTTGAAAAATAAACAGTGAAACTACGCAAACTGCAATGTGTGTGTTTAGAAGTTTAAAATGAAAAGGACCCGAGACCCACTGAGACCCATCTACATGGATGAATACTTTTTTATCTTACTTAGGCAGAAAACATTAAAATAAAAATGGAAGGATTTTAAATCCTAGAATTTCAATGCAGCAAAAGACTTTTTTAATCATCCAGTTCACTTCCTTCTTTTGGTACATGAGGAAATGAAACCTTAGAAATGTTAAGGAACTGTCAAAGGTCCTATTAGTACTAGGTAGAGGTGGGATCAAAACTCAAGTCTTCTGACAAACAACCATTAAAACATGCCACCCCTATTCTGCCCCAAAATAACCATTTATCAAGTGCCATTAAGTACCATGTGTCAATACTTTTTAAGCATGATTTCAAACTTCCTGACAACTCTAACAGTGTCAAGGTAGGTATTACTATTATTGCCATTTTACTTACAGATAAATAACCTGAAGCTCAAACAGTTTAAATAATTTGCCCGGTAGTTCTCAAAGTGTGGCCCTTGGAACACTTCTGGGGGTCTCCTAGGTCAGACTATTTTTATGATAATACTAAGATGTTGTTTGTCTTTTTTTTTTTTTTTTTTACCATGTTGACACTTGCACTAAAGATTTAAAAACAAAGGTGGACAAAACCACTTGCACCTTACCATGAACCAAGGTGGTGGCACCAAACTATACTAGTAACTATTATTTTTTTTCACTGTGTACTTTCAGTTTTAAAAAAAGCAAGTTTCACTTAAGAATGTTCCTAATGAAACAGTAGAAGTTATTAGTTCCATTAATTATTGATCCTTAAGAAGATGCTATTTTGTGATTTTGTGTGACAAAAAGGGCAGTGCACTTAAGACACTTCTACTACCTCAAGGGAAAACACTTGTATGATTGAGTTGTCAGCTGAATTTGACTTTTCCCCCATAGAACATTATTTATACTTGAATTAATAACTGACAGACAAACTATGGTTAATCAAAATGAGCCTACCACTTCAAAGGAAGTAACTGACAATATTTGTTGCCAATCATAAGATAAACTTTTAGGAAAAAAATTAGAATTTTATAAAACTTGTATCTGCCTCCATGAACTTAACAGCTTCTTGAAGAATACTTCAAGACTTTCCTGATAAAGTTGGGAGAGATATTCACAAGTATGATTTTTTAGGATATTATATAATGAAATATCAGAAAATCTGCTTAATTCAGTGAACAATTATTTTCAAAATGACTGATGCCACAGAATCATGCATTGGTAAAGATACATTCAAATTGTGAGATAGAAATGTATTTTAATGTAACAGAATATGAAAAAGTTCACCAATATGATTTCAGATTCTATACTGTAACTAGCCTTTAAGAAACTATCTTTTGTCAAGATCATAGTATCAAAGAACAACATCCAGAAATTATTTGAAAAGGCTATTAATACTCTTCCACATTCCAACTCTATATCTGTGTGAATCTGTATTTTCTTCGTATACATCAACCAAAAACATATCGTGACAGAATGCAGAAACAGATAAGAGAATCCAGCTGTCTTTTATTAAGCCAGAGAATAGATTTGCAAAAGTGTAAATAATGTCACTCTTCTTGCTAAATTTTTTGAAAATAGTTTTTTTCATAAAAATATGTTTTTATATTAATATATAGTAAGTTTATTTTAAATGAATTAGTAAATAATTGCTTCCAATTTTTGTCAGTTTTAACTTTGAATACAGTAAATATCAACCCACATCAACAAAAGCTCTTTAGAGTTCTCGATAAATTTTCAGAGTGTAGGGTCCTGAGATCAAAATGTTTGAGAAGTACTGATCTTAAATAACACTCCTGGGAAGTGGGAAAGCCAGGTCTCTCGTCCATCTGGCTTTAAACCCATGTTGCTTCCATGGCACAATGTTACCTGCTTACCCAAAAGTCTCATTAGTATTAAAACAGGAAATAGAATTGGGTCCTTAAAGCTTTATTTTGCAATGTTTTTTTTCTCCATAATATTTATTTTTCAATGTTTAGATATTTTTCTTTGCTGAAGCATGAGTTTCTTATCCCTAAAACTTTAGAACTCCATTAGGGACTCAAGATGACTCTTTTTGGCTATCAAATAAAAATGAAATGATGTTGCTCAGCAGTCAGCTGATGCCAGAAGTAACAATATTTTGAATTTTATATTGTATATAAAGTCCAAACGGTTGGAAGATGTTCTTTATTAGATTTTTAAAAACAAAAGTGATTCTGGTTCTTTGGCATCAGGCTTGTTTTTTATCTACTTGGTTCTAAGCCCTAAGAATTAAATTTATGCTTTGGGGGGAACAGCTTTGCTCGGGGACATTCTCAGAAGGAAATCTTGCATGCCCCTCCGCAGTACTGCATTCTCAGCAACCTCCCTCAGGCTTCTGTGTAGCTTTTCCATCTCCTTGTATTCACTTTTGACATCTACAGAAGAGCAAAAGTATGCATCAGGAGTTAGTGTCATTTTCAGAAATGTCCCCAGAAAACAAATCTCCTGAGGACCTTGTCACTTCTCCCAGAATGTGATATCTGGAATGAAACTTAGAGATCAGATAGTCCGATCAATTTATTTTACAAAAAAAAACCTGATCAAACTGGGCACTCTTGCTCTTACCTTAAGGCTTATCTCAGCATAGGGGTCACCCTCAAAAGAAACACAAACCTACGCATAAAAAGATCCAGGAGATCACTGGGTCATTACTAAGTCTTCACAAGAGCTCAGTGAAAGGAGATCCAAAGCCCACCACACAATAAACCTCCCTAAGTCCTCTCCAGGCTTCTCTCTCCTTCCCCTGACCCTCTGCTCCTAGCAGTTCTCATTCTAGGTAAATTTGCTCTGTTTTGGCCTCTTGGGTTTTCACTCATGAACAGCAATCAAATTATATCCTTATGATGGTGAATTTTAGGTGTCAACTTGTCAGGGCTATGGTGCCCAGATATTTTGCCAAACATTATTCTGGAAGTTTCAGTGAGCATAGTTTTGGATGAGATTTACATTTAAATCAGCAGACCTTGAGTAAAGCAGACTGTCCTCCACAATGTGGGTGGGCCCCATCTAATTAGGTAAAGCCCTGGCCAGGTCAAAAGTCGGTGTCCCCAAGCAAGAGGGAATTCTCCAGCAGACCACCTTTGGACTTCATCAGCAACATTAGCTCTTTGGACTTCATCAGCAACATTAGCTCTTCCTTCTTCTACAGCAAACTGCTTTGGACTTGAACTCAAGTCTTTCCTGTGTATCCAGCCTGTTGGCATCCCCCATCAGATTTTGGACTCAGCAAACCTTCACATTCATATGAGCCAATTTCTTAAAGTAAATCTACCATCTATCTATCTATCTATCTATCTATCTATCTATCTATCTATCTATATCTATCTACCCATCCATCCACACATATTCATATCCTATTGGTTCTGTTTCTCTAGAGAACTCTGATTAACACAATCCTCTTTGAAGGAACACTTCAGACTGACCCTGAGGTTGGTTCGGGCATTGCTCCTGAATGCCTTTCCAATCCACCTTGGCTCTACACGTTCCATATCATTACCTAGACTCACCCACCCTGAGCCTGGCCAGCGATGGCACTCATGACCAAGGAGGGAATCAGAACCTTGAGTCTATTTGTCTTGCTTCTGAGTCTGGAAAGTCTCCCTTCTCCTCACTGCTTCATAAATCCAACTTATCCTTTCAGGCTCTACTCCAGGACCCAGATTACATGAAACTTCCCCAACATCCTGGCCCTGAATAACCACTGTCTTCTGAATAATCTGGTGGTCAAGTGTGTTCCTTCTGTCAGGTTTTTTTTAAATGTCACATTCCCAGTGAGACCTTCCCTGATCACCATGTCTCCCACGCCCAGTCCTCCCTCTCCCCTTTCTCTGCTTTATTCTTCTCCATTGCATTTATCACGTTTTGCGTGCCACATATTTTATTTATTGTTCTGCTTAGTGTCTGCCTTCTGACCACTGGGCTGTAAGCTCCATGAAGGCAGAGATTTTTGTCTTTATTGGTCCACTGCTGTATCCTCAACACCTAGAATACTGCTCAGTACCTAGGAGGTAATTACAATCACTTATGCAGTGAATGCATACTATCTACTAATTTAATTTACATGCTCACACATCTTGTTTTACCAAGCAGGTAAGACTCAGAGCAGGGACTGTTATAGACCTCTTTGGCCCCTGGCACACTACTCCCTACATAGTATATATCTGCTGTCGATGGAAAGAAAGGGAAATGATCTTAAATTGTGGCAGGAGCAATTTACATCAAATTCAGGTGAACATTTTCTGTGTGGGAGATTTGGACAGTTGGAAAACCTTTGGTGAATAGGAGTTCTTTATTATTTTTTAAGGTTGTATTTATTTATTTA